ATGCATGGCAGTGGCTAACTATTGTGAACTCTGTGTGGATATATAAGATGTCTGGGGAATTGTAGGTAAGTGTCCCTGGTAAAGAATGGAAAAGATTGAAGAAATGTGTATGTTTTTGAGAGGTTTAACATTTAAAACAGTAATACAGAAGTTACAGTAACAAAGGAGAAAAGTAACGCTTAATCAATATAATTGTAAAGAGTTTCTAAAGATACAATGAAAAGGTTATTGTATAAATTTGGGAAGAAGGTGAAGGAAAGAAATAGCTATGCTCTTTCTAACAGATTAACAAAAAAGCTCAAACTATGCTTTTGTACATTGTGAAGTGACATTCTCAGGAAGAGAATTGAGAGAAATACTACAAAATAAGTAAGAATGGAAATCTAATAATGCATGATACCTATATAACGGAGAAGGGCAGTTGGCCCAAAGAAAGGCAAGCTGAACAAATGTTGTTTCTGTGTTCCTCCCAATCACTGTAGAATATTCTAAGTACCGTCAAAAATTAAATGTTTAAAACTTTTCTTGCAGAGTTAATAGAACTGAAGAGGAAGAGGGCTATAAGCCTTAATTCCAGTGGCTTCCAGTGGGTAATAGAAAGTCTTAATGGAAACTCTGACTTTTAATGCACTTTCAGGTTTTTTTTTTTAAGGGCTGTGAACTCAACAATTCTTGTTGAGTGTTTGCACACGTGTACTTAACGTGCTAGGACTGACTGCACTCCTAGTGAAGAGAGGTTGAGTAATTGAAGCAGAATATAAGAGGTCACTGTTGCACTTTCTCCATTGTGTACTTCAGCCTTGGTTTGATCCAAACCATTCTGGGTTCCAGGGAAGTGCAGAAGGATGACCCCAGGGGAAATTGCCTGTTCAGAGCAATGTTTACTTCATTTTGACACCTTCATTCCTGAACCGTGTGCATCAACATGTTCTTGTCTGTAAGAAAAGTCAAACAGAAAGCCTGCTTTCCTATTTTTTCTCAATGCTGTACCGTCCCCAACCCTGTATACAAAATTAGTGTATAAAGCAGGGTGTACTAAAATATCCTTTTGCTGTGGTAGAGCCTGTAGATTGGGGTCATGCACACTATGCATTTTGCTTTCCTTCAGAAGGAAAGCAGAGTCATAGGCTCTGGTAAAGGATGAAAATACATTCCTTGGCGGAAGATCCCAAATCGTGCAAGCTCCTCTGCAAGGGGAGCTTGGCTCTTTCACTGTTGCTTGAACGACTGTGATGAAGTTACTGTTTAGGCAGAACACTGTGTATATTTTTTTGTTCTTCTGGTAATGCAAAACAGTCTGAAGGTTTCCTGGTTTTCTTCAACTGGGCTTTTGCATATTTTCCCTGTTTTCAAAATTTCAATGAAATGTGCAAATGGTAATGCATGTAATACTGTCTGAATCAGAGGCACAGCAGACAAATATTATACCTCCTGTGGTATCACAGTGCATTATAGCACGGAGCAATAATGTGTAGATGTAGTTCAATACTATTTAAAGGCATAAGTTTTTTTTTTTTCCCTTACCTGACTAATACTGTTTTAAAGGTTATATTTGAGTTGGCTTCTAGAATTTGTTTCAGCTTCTATCATTTGTTATTTGAGGATGGGGTAGGAGGGAAGTTCTTTTATTTCATTATACATAGGACAGATGTTTGTACCGATGAAGACTTTCAGTAAGGTGTGATGACACTGGTAGCAGCACATAGTTTAGCTGAACAGGCAGCTGGGAGGAAAGTAATGAAGATTTATGTTTGTGTGTTTCTGAGGTTGTTACTTTAGATGGTAACTGTCTTGTGAGATGGTAAAAGCAAATTATTTTCTGAAACTCCACTGATCAGAGGTTTTTTTTAATGTGTTTGATAATTTTAATGGTGAAGATGTATCTTTAAGTTGTTTGAATGTTGAATATTCAAATGTGATTATTTGCAGTTTTATCTTGTAGCACAGCAGTGCACTACGTAAAATTTTCTGTTAAGTATTTATTAGAAATGTAAGCAGGTTAGTATTTGAAGTTTACACATTTCAAAAGTAAACCACAGGACAGCGCTGGGTAACCAGGCTGCACAACTGCTATTAATGCTCCTGAGAATTTATGGTTTATATTCTAAAGTTCAAGTTAACAATTTGAGTTCTAAGAAATGAAATTTCCTTGAGGTGCACTGTATAACATAGCTAATATCAGAATGTGAAAAGAATTTAGTCCAGTTTAAGAGAAAACATTTGAATCCATATTAGTTCACTGCAAGCTTGTTAAAATAAGAAGGTGATACTCCTGGGTTTTTTATGCTTACAGCTGAAAGGAGTGAATCTTTTTAACAGGTCTATAGTAAGTAATTATATATAATGTCATAGGTGCCTAAGGTGATTCCAATCTTTTCTTAAAACCGAAACCAAAGTACAGCACAGATCTGTCTACATGGCACTACTCTTGCTTTGACTTGTGAATTGTATCAACTCCCCAGTTATTTTTGGCACTGAATTTCACTAGGTTTGCTGGATTATAGCAAATCTTTCAATTTACAGAGAACAGAAGAGAAATAAGCTGATTCTTATCTTGATATAAGTGGATTTGGCCTTTGTTCTGTGGAAACTATAGTTCTGGATCACTCCCCAGTAATACAGAGTTGTGACTTTATCCCCTTGCTCATGCAAACAACTGTTTGTCCACAACAACCATTTTACTGTATTTATTCGATGTATAGAAAGAATATAGAATTTACCTGAAAATTGCACATAACTGGTGAGAATGCACAGAATATTTTCCTTCTTAGCTGTTTGGCAACTAGCAGTATATTTATATAATTATGCCAGCTTTTAATCTGCTTTTAAGCTCTTTGATGATTTTTCCTTCATGCTGTTCCTAACCAGATCTCAAACAGTGCTGAAAGAAGCTTGTTTATGAAGATTGGTGGATTATTTTTCTTGGGAAATAATTTCTAGTTCTGATTTTGCTACTTGTATTATATGTTGGGCAATCATTTTTAAGACCTCAAACTTGGGAGAATCTAAACTCTCACAATTGTGTTTGAAGATGCTTTGTCTTTCAGTAGACATTTGTGTAAAAGCAATGAAACAGGCTTCACTGCTACTTTTGGTCATTTTTAATATATTTTCAGAACTAAGGAGTAGTAATACTCCACGGTCCGCAAACTGCTACTTCCTACATTTTTGTCTGTGTCAATCTTCTTTTTATGGTGATGTACTTGCATATAAATGTAGTATTTGGTGTGCAATAGGGATTTATTTGGCGTTGATAGAGGTTTTTCTGTTGCGCAGTTGGGACACTAAAGGAACATGAAAATCTCAAACAGTTTGTTTTTGTTTAGCTGAACCAAAATGTAATCACAAAATTATCTACGGAGTAGTTAAGTCTTCTTCACAATGGATTTCTAAAATCAATGTAAAGCATATGTTTCATTGCTCTGTGTCCTTTCTTGAGCTATGAAAGTAACTCATTGATTATAAAACAAGTCAGTGAAGTGATGGTGGTTTGTTTCTGATAGTGGCTTTGTGTAGTTGTTTTTACCAGGTTGTTCAATGTTGTACAAGTTTATAAGTCCACAGTACGTGCTTTAAAAAAACCCCATTGTGTAGTTTTAGAAACACAGTAACTACTAGAGATTTTAGTAATCTTTCTGCACAGGATGTTGCAGCTCTTCACTTACGAGGGCTTTTTAAAAGCATAAATAATTGCTCTTCACATTTATTTCAAGATTACATTTGATTTAAACTATCAAAACCAAGGTCCTTCTTAAAGCCAGTGTCTGATGGTGAGCTGTAAGGATGTTTAGGCCTATGGATATATGACTTAGCGAAAGGTACCTTGCTTTTAAAATTATTTTATACTTAATGGAGATGGCTTTAAGCTTTACAGCAATGTAGATAAACTTGAATTTCACTGCCCTGGTCATGAAGAATGTACTTATTGTTGGGACAGTGAAATTTACGGCAGCAGCACACTGTGGTTTGTGAAAGGAGAGATGCAGTAAAGGAGAGAAGGGAGAGTGGAGCTGTCAGCAGCAATGTTTGGGAGCAGACACCGTGGGAATCTCTTCTTTCTTGACTGCCTTACTCCACCTCTTTAGAGCTTTAGACCTCTGCAGAAAGTATCTTGTACAGAACTGTTCTGGTTGCTCTCAGTTGTCCTCTTGCCTGTTGAGTACTTCTTCCTCTGGGAAGTACATCTTTCTGTTTGTGAACCGACAGTCACTCCAGATGAACCCCAAACTCTGGGAGAGAACTCTGTTGATATAGAGGATTCGAGGGAAGAGTTTTCCACAGCTGTTGAGTACTTGTGGCAAATGCCTATTTTGCTTGCATCTTAAGCTGAATCTGCAATGAGTTATCCTTTTGACTCTAGAGCTTTTTAAGAGTTTGGGCTAGTAGATTGACTGCCAGCAGTCTATTTAATTTTTCCATGTGTATTTCTGTAAAATGGCTTTCATGAAGGAAATTAATTTGATTAATTATTCCATATTACTTGAGTTAACACCCTGTAGTTGGATACAATGGAAGTTCTTACGTAGATCACCCTTTCTGGATGTTTTTCTGCAGTATTTGATATGTTTTCTTTTTCCTGTTCTGCTCTACAAACATCAGTTCTTTCTGTTATCATCTGTATCCCTGCAACACTTGGACAAAGATACTGTGATTAAATTCTTAGTTCTGGTCCCCACACATTGCTCTCAGTTTCAGGAAGGAAGCTGTTCATTATGGGCTTTCAGAATAGGAGGGAAACCAATGGGACTTGCATCAGTGGCACTGCTTCACCCCTGTAAGAACTGAAGCTTCACTAGGTGCTTTTAATTATACTCTTGATGAATTACATACAGTGCAGGGGGATGGTAGCACCTGATCTAAAATTTTAACGGGGACTCAGGTTGATTTGTCTTTCTGGTTTTTAATTCTGTGGTTGGAGTTGTTTGTATGAATGACTGTTTAAATACAGAACAAAATGCTGTTGAGTTGTAATGGCTTAACTGTCCATTTAAATGTCACAGGTAGAGGAGGATGATGATACTGAATCACGAGAGGAAGAAGAGAAGGAAGAACTGAAAAGCTATTCAAGAAGAAAGATTTTTTCCAACTGGAGCCGCTATGAGGATACAGAAAAAGAGGGGCAGAGTGAATGTGGGGAATCACAGAGAGGAACAGACTTCAGTGTCTTGCTTAGCTCAGCAGGTAAGCATTTTCTACTCTATAGATAGTTTTTTTGTTTTTCATTTTGAAACATTACTACTTTTCTGGCTGTTGTTTGTGATGATGAAAGAGAACCCTAGAATACGATTCCTGTCTGCCTCGGTAAGTCTGCCATTGGTGTATTTAGGAGTGTTCGACATCTCCATGGGAGCAGCCTTATAGCATACAGGGTGCACTGAGACATGGCAGATAGGGAGTAAGAGGGCTGCTGCATTTATAGCCTTCTCGTGAAACTATGTATGGGTCTGACTGTGTGCAGCATCCAGTTACTTTGAGCCTATTCTTGCTGACAATTAATTTCTTACCAATCTTGGTTATTGAGATGTTTTCCGGAAAAAAAAGAAGGTTGCTAGTATGACTAAACACAGGAAAGCAGTCAAGCAGCAGCTTGCTGTTGTTTGTTTTGACAAAGATTTGTAATCAGAACTGCACAGATGTGTCCATGAATAGCAAGTATTACTACCCTCCTTGGAAATAAAGATCAGTTGTCTTTCCCTCTTTAAAGGAGATAATAGGAGGAGGAGGTGGAGGGACAGGTCCTTCTAGATCCTATTTTTTATTTCTTAGCTGTACATGAATAGTATGGGCAGTTCCACAAAAAAAAGTTAACCTAAAATAATTTTAGAAACTTCTGATGTGCCATTGTGTTGGAATACCATTCAGTAAAAAGCTGCAAACAATGTATTATGGGGAGTTTTTTAGCAACTTGGAAGCTCTGAAATCTCTCAAATCTAAATAATTGGATTTTTCAGCTACAGCTTGGAGTAGTCACTTAGAAATTATCCACAGTAAAGAAACAAGGACCAGAGCTTTTGTTCTCTGTGCCAGAATCAATTTCTGAAGTTCAGTTTTGCATGAACATTGCAGAATTGGGCCTGAATTCCCAGTTTAATCATAGAATTGTGAGATATGTATTGACTTCTGTGAATGGTATGTTGCATGGTAAACAGTGTTGGAGTCAAGATGCCTGGTATGGACCTCAGAGCTGGATAGGTAACATAGCCTGGGGACCAGAGTAGATATCACAAGTCAAAACTTTTTAAATCAAGACACCTACCCTGAGCTGCATGTTGCCATGGTTCAGCTTTTTAAAACAAACTTTAATATCTCTAACTTTATACCTAGCCTTAGGAATGTCTTTAAAATGTTCTGATGAATGGTACTTTTGGACTGAGGATATAAGGAAAAACTATATATTTCTACTAATTTGTATTTTTTGTAAGTTGTACTCCAATACAGTTATTACCAATCCATTTATTTTACTCTGTAGATTCTCTCAATGCCTAAAATGAAAATCTTGTTAGTTTGTATTCTTACTAGTATTAACTCTTTATCTGTCATTTAAAGATTGTTCTACTTTATTTTAGGATACATTGTGACTCTTCTTGACATTAAAATACATTGATAAGAAACAGCAATGAAATAAAGTACTTTCAGAGGAGGAGAATGTACCTTCTAAACAATAATGCAGAGTTCTTAGAGTCACATAGTGTGTGTCAGGGGAGTTCTTTGTATGGTTTCTTTGGCTTATGTGCGAAAACTGAGAATACAAGTCATCTTTATTTCTAGTGGTATGAGAAGAAGCTTGCATCTCTGCTTTATTTGATAATTTTGACTTCTGGTAGTATATTGCTGTTTAGCATTCCGAAGTTGCACAATGAATCCAATTCAATTGCAACAAGCAGTTAGGGGAGTACTGGAGAGGGAATGGATTTAAAGTGCCATTTTTCATGAATGCAAAGCTTAGAAAGGTCTTGCAATTTACTGTCAATACACAACAATGTAATTGATGCAGTCAGTTAAGAATCCTTTGGCAAAAGCTCAGATTAAAAACTTGTTCTCCTATGTAACATTTAGGTTCCATAATATTGAAAGCAGGGTCTTAGAGTGCCATCCTTCAAGATAGAATGGGGGTTTATTCCCAGAGAATATCCTGTTAATTGAATGAGATAGGGTAGAAAAAATAGTTTAGGATAATGTAGTGATAAAGATAGAATTAATGCTAGTAGAGAAACTTAAATGGAGGAATTCCTGGCATCCAAGAAATTAAAATTCCAAGCTTGGTATTTGTTTTAATATTTTGTAAACGTGTTTCTGCATGTAATTTTCCAGCTAATGTCACCCAAAAAAAAGCAAAATGAGAAGACTAATACTCTGTGATATGGGTGTCATATTGATAATTAGTGGGATTGGAGCTCTTAAATCTAGCTATGGGTTTTTATGCTGTATTTTTAACAGTAGTAGAGGAAAGTGAGATATTTTTTCTGAGGGGGGAGGAAAGAGTTTGAAGATATTTGCAGAGGATGATAAGTCTTTAGGGTATTTTATTTTACGTTTTTCAATAGCTTCTGAAGACATGCTTTTTTTAGGTTTTTGCCTCTACTTCTAGCTTGTCCCTGCCTCAAGCCAATCTCCGGTGCAGCACTGATGCTGTCTTTTCAATCAAATATTTAGGCCTGACTAGTCCCAGACTGTCTCTGGCTGCACCTTGTCTCTCTGCTGTCAGTCTTTGCCTGCCTACTAATTCTTCTCACTCTCCCTTGCTTCTGTTGATTTTCCTTTTTGTCTATGTTTCGGGTTCCTGGTGGTGGGTCTTTTCTCAGTCTTTTGTTGTGAGCCAGCTCCCTTCCACATATATTCACTAAAATCCAGCTCTGTCAGATATATTCTATCCCTTGCTCTTTCCAGTCCTGGTGATCCCTAGTTCTGAGTTGTCTGCCTGGGATTGCTCATTTGGCTTAATTTTTCTCTCATCCACTACCACGTCGTCTTCTTACATTCCTCTTAGTTTCTTTCCTCGTCTAGTCAATCCCAGTTTATTCTTCCAAGCTTCCGGTTCTAGTCTCCACTGCAAGCTGTTTTCTCCATTTTCCCTCCACACGCAGCGTTGGTATACCCTAAATCTTGCTCGGTTACCCAACAATATGAAGTGACAGGCCCCTGTTTTCAACTATGGAGGGGATACCGGTGTGGATGAGGTTGCAGAAATACGCAAGATGACACTTTTTGTTCAGTGTTGTACCTAATGCCTGTTAAATGCAGACTTCTCTTAAAATCTGGCTTTTCACTCATAACCAGGGTTAGAGGAAGCTTAATTCAGTTGCCTTACGCATTGGGATGATGTACAGAAGGTCAGAGGGGTGACTGGTTCTTCCAGCAGATCTTGCCAAAAAATAGTAAACCTGATTTCTAGAAGCTTGTAGCTTGGCTAAATCAGGTCAGATTTTTCACAAACTGAGCAGAGTGTACCTCTCATAAAAAAACATTGCCCAGCCTGATTTCAAATTACAGATACAGGACAGGAAGGTAGTTACAGTTTTTCAAAGGGAGAGTTTATAAGGTCTTTTTTCCCAGGTCGTTTCATGATAGAAAAATGTTCCAGCCATTCTCTGACTTTTTTTTTAAAAGGTGGTGATGAGGGAGAGTGAGGGGAAACTACCTGAAGCAGACAATTGACATGGAAAATTTCAGACTGAATAGTTAAAAAAGCAGCAGAAAATAGTCTTAAGGAAGAACTGCCAGGTGGCTTTGATAACAGCTGATGTCACTAGCCTGACAGAGCTTCTGTGTTAGGGTTTATTGTATTTGTGTGTGAAGTAGGTTGATAACTTTAGTTTTTAAGTCTGTTTCCTTCCTTTTTTAGCATTTTATAATTATTTTTTTAATTGACCTTGAATCTAGCAAAGCAAACTTTTCTGTATTGCTTTTGATGTCTAGCTGATGTAAACTACAAGTCCATTGTGAAGCCTTCAGGGAATATGTCTTGAATCAATTTAGTAAAAATGCTGTTGAAGCGTAAAGAACAAGAGAAGTGGAAGTGATAGGATAACCTTACTTGGGCTAAAAGAATCTTGCCATGTTTGAAGAGCTGTCCTCATTTTTTGACTGATGAGGGTTAAGCGTCCCAAAATAGATTTAAGTCCTTCATTAGGTTTTTGGCTCTGAATAGGTAGTCTAGGTTTAAAAATATGCTTTTAAAATCTCGTTACAGAGCTGATCCAAATCTATCCAGGGACCTGATCACTTTCCTTTAAACATGGTAGGCATTACCAATACGGCAGCCAAAAGCTGCCAACATACATGCCTCAAAAACAGCGTGCTCAGTTGCAGGATGTGATGATTATCAAGGTGAAAAAATATGATTTTGGGCATGAATTTTTTCCCGTTTGTTTTTTTGGCCATAATTCTGATGGTGTTAAAGTGTAAGAAAGAAAAATGCTGTGTAGTTCAAACAAAATTGACAGAATGTTTTCGATATTGTAAGAATACATATATTTCTGTAGGTACCTAGCACTTGAATACACTAGGAAATGTGGAATAAAAATCAAGAGAGCAGTCACTGGAGCATAATAGTAATGAACAGTAAGTGTAAGAATTGTGAAGTAGCAGTTACTTTCCATTCTCTGAAACACCGTTGTTTTGCTTTTTTAACCTCTTGCTTTTGGGCCTGTTTAATTTTGAGTCTTTTGCAATATATTGCTACATTTTTGTCACTTTCCTGGCCAATACATACACAAGAATTTGCAGTATACAGAAGACCAACCTTGGATAAGCTGAACAGATAAACTTATGGAGGAAGGCTTGTGTTAAAAATAGTTTTCCTTCAACTTTTCTATCTTAAGGATATACTGTCAGAGATCTGGAAAAAAAAAATAGAGTGAAGAGTAAATGAGTTTTCTTATTTTCAATGCTAATTCTGCTTAAACAAAAAGAATGGCAATGGCAGCGCATGGTTTGGATGCTAAAAAAGAATCCTTTGAGTTTTAAAATTCTAGAGAATACCTGAAAATCAGTTTTCTTTACAGAACTGCATAACTCATTGTTGATTTGGCTTACTGTGTGTATCAGGGGTCCCACTTTACAGTGGTATTTGATTTGCCAGCTTCTACTTTTCATTTGTATGTCTGTTCTGTGAAATTATTTACATCTGTATGTCTCCACAGAACTCTGTTTCTGAATCTGTTTCTTGTACCATTGAGATA